TTTAAGCTTCTCTTTGTCTGTAGGGGATAGAGTGGGGGGTTTACTGAGGTATCACAGGAATGGCTAAATATTCTTTTGTAAAGGTAACATAAAGCTAGAATAACTTTTAAAATTCCACCTGTTAGTGTTGTGTGTGCAGACACATGTGTACATGTGTGGCAGTCAGGACAACTCGGGAGTCTGTTCTCTCCTGCGTAAGTCTGGGGATCGAACTCAAATTGGCCACACTCATACACAATAACAATAAGTAAAAATTTAAAATACTTCAAGCAACAAAATAAAATGAGGCTGCTTGGGGAGAAAGTCCGCAAAGCAGATCTGTGGGGTTTATATGTATGTGTGTTCATTATAAGGAACTGGTGCAAGAAGCTGGGAAGTGCAACTGTGGAGTGTGCCCGGAGATGGAGACCATCTCCACTCAGGGCTTTTTCCTCCTGCTGTAGAGATTTTTCAGCTGATTGGATGAGTCCTCCCCAGACTCTGTTAACTAAACACTTGCATCCCAAAGCCTGCTAGCCTCATATAGATTCCTTCCCAACTGGGCTCTCCCTCATTTGCCCGCCAGACAGCTGTACCTGTGCTACTCAGAACGTGGCCCACAGCCCAGGCTGTTCTATACTGCTAGAAAATACCGAAATTGGCACTTAAACACTTGCCTCTCCCTAGCACCAAAAAAAAAAAAAAAAAAAAAAAACCCAAAAAAACAAAAAAACTACACTAATCTGATGTCTGCTGAATGTGATATTTAAAATGGGATTTATAATTTCACTTCATTTTTTTATTTATGTGTTATGTGTGTGGTGGGGGGGGAGGGTAGGTATGTGTATGGGTGCCTGTAGAGGCCAGAAGAGGCATTGGAGTTTACAAATGGTTGTGAACTCTCTGATGTGGGTGCTAGGAACCTCTCTCTGGTCCTCTCCAGCCCCCTTAAGTCATTTTTAATGACTTTTCTAGAATCACTGTCTATGATAGGTCAGAAATGTTTCAAAAAGGAAAACTGGTCCTCCAGCACAGGTGGGTGAGCAACTCTGCTTGAAGTCATGGCTAGACAGTTCGAAGCTTGGCTCCACCCTGGCCCTCCACTGTATGAGTTCCTTGGTGACGGTCTGAAGTGTGGAAGGATGGGCTAGTAGGGTCTTATGTCCTCTACCACAGTCTTCATGTTCTCTCTGCCTGAGCAGGCTCACATCTTCAGAGTCGGGGAGGCTAATGTGCTGTTTCATGACACCTGAGTAGGCGTGAGCAGGAAAAGGGGGTGGGGGGGGTTGTGATGGGACACACACCTCACAGTGTTCTGATACCCAGGGCCTCTGAAGCAGGGGGCAGCTTCTCCAGCTACACTAGTCTTCCTTTGCCAAGGGGAGAGTTTACTGTCCTAGTAGGAATATGTGGAGTAAGACTTCCCCAGAAGGAATCTTGACAACAATTGCTAACATTTGGCTGTGTCTTTTTTAGGGGAACTTGGAGAGACATGCCTCACCTTTCTCCCACATTCCCCTGCTCTGATCTGCTATCTACACATAACACCCTCCCTTCCAGTATTTTGGATTTGGGGAACTAGCTAAGAGACTCCCCCACCGGGTTCTTCTCTGGAGGTAAAAGCGTGATGGTCTCACTGAACAACCATAAAGCAGATAAATCCTGTAACCTGGTCCAAACAAGTGGGGGTGTGTGTGGTAGTTCCTCTATTTCATATCAGCCCCTCTAACATGGTCTAATGCCCTGCCCACTCTCCTACACTGCTTTGCAGACCCCTCGCAGTATTGACTGCTATATATGGTCATGTATGTATTTATTGCCCTTTCCATATTCAACTAAATCCCTGAGGAACTCTGATGTTTCCTAAGCTTCCAGTCTTGTGTGCCTCCTGCTCTAACTGAAGTATCATTGCTATTTATGATATTAGTCAGTTGTATCTGAGTTTTAAAAGTGTGTGGGAATCTTTCTGGAGAAAGCGCTCCCACAGTAATGTGAGTGGAAGAGAGGCAACGTCACAGGTGGACCACGGCCAGGCCAGCTCCTGGAAGGCTTCCATCCTGGGTGCAGCCTGTATTCCCATTTTCCACTCTAAACCACAAGGTGGGTGGCCAAGCAAGAGTTTACAGACGCTTCCGGTGGCAGTCAGCATGTTGTTAAGGGCAACCACCCATTGGTTCAGCTGTTTCTCCAGGTCACCCTGTTCCAGGTGGGCAGGTGAAGTCGAGCTTGGCAAAGAGGCAGCATAAGCAGTGCCTTGAGTGGATCGCTAATGTATCAGTGGCTGTTGATTGCTCTTTTCTACCTTACTCTACTCCAAAAGCAATAAAAATGTTATGAGAACAAAATTAGACAAGTACAACAAAATCATGCACTTTTTATTTAATAAACAGAGCCAAAGGATATAAATAAAATTTTACAGAAGGTAAAAAGAACATTTAACATGTGAAGAAAGACTTGTTTCTAAGGAAACGAAACCATAGCTCTCCAGGAAAGGCCATTGTTACTCCGTACTTGCAAACTTGACAGTACGTTTTATCTGGACACTGTTTTATTCCATAGAACACAAACATAACAAATTAAATGCCCCTTCTTGCAGTAAGGAGTCTACCACTGATCCACAACCTGGCTCCAAAAACCCGCTTGAAAAAACAATTTCTGAGTCTCATCTGTTGAAACAACAGAAAAAAAAAATATTCAACGAGGTACTACGAATGAATCTTGACACCAACTTGAGAAATGCCAAATATACCTTGTGGGAATGTCCTTGAAGGCATCCTGGAGAGGTGGGGGCTGACCTAATGACAGGTGTAATCCATTTATTTCATCCAAATGGGTCAGAATTTGAACAGACTGCTAGGACGTGGCAGAATGTGGAAGATGGGGCCTGGTTGGAAGTATGCCACTCAGAATGGCATGTGGAGTCTCCCTCCATCTTGCCTCCTCTCTTTCCTGTTACTGCCCTGCTCTGCTTCCTGCCTGCTATGATGTGAGGAGCGGCACCACACCCTGAGCACAGTGAGCTGAAACATCGAGAGCCACGAAGTAAAGTAAATCACTCGTGTAAGCTGTTTGCTCAGGTATCTTGGTCACATTGACGAAAGTGCTAACCACTGTCTCCTTCTGCTGCAAGAACAGAGTTCTTCCAGCAGCCCAGCACCAGTTCTCGGCATGTCGCCCATTTGTGTCCCTTCTAACTTCCATCTTTAAAAGCCACACCAGCAATGATAATAGAAGTTTGAATCTATTCATGACCTCTGAACACGAGTATGTCATTCCAATTCAGTCCTCGTATTGCTGTTTGCAACGGTTATGTGACAGCAGATGCCCTTTAATAGCCTTGGGGTGCTTCCCAGGGCTCCTCTTACAGCTGATCTGGAGAGAGACGGAGGGCACCCTTTATAGAGAAGTCTCAACTAGTGTGAAGAAATGGCAGCTAAAGATAACTTAGTGCTTATAAGTGTGTTATATTTGCAATGATGACCATTAAACTAAAGGTCACCCACTGCTTATCATCCTTCTCCAATGTGCATTTTTTTGCTGTTTAAAACATCCTCACCCTTTATTAGACATTAATTTACTTTTTTCCTGACTAGTTACCCACAAGACATGTAGTTCTTACAGTTTATCATTAGAAGTAAAGGATCCACTGGATTTGTAAGCTTTTAAAAAGTACTTATTGTGTGTATATGTATGATGTGGGGCACATATGCTGACATGCACGTAGAGGTCAGAGAACAACTTTGTGGAGCTGGTTCTCTGCTTCCACGTCTATGAGAGTTTTGGGGATCCCACTCAGGTTGTCGAGTGTGGCGTGGCAAATGCTAAGACGGCTTACTAAGCCACCTCACCAGCCTCATTTCTAAGCCTTTTGAAAGGAAAAATAAATATGATGAACATTTTTTAAGTTTTAGTTTTGAAAACTTTTTGTTTGTTTGTTTGTTTTGAGACAGGGTTTCTCTGTAGTTTTGTGTCTTTCCTGGATCTCACTCTGTAGACCAGGCTGGCCTCGAACTCACAGAGATCCGCCTGCCTAGTGCTGGGATTAAAGGCGTGCGCCGCCGCTGCC